TCTAGGCACCTAACATGGAATAAATATCCATGGTGTCTACCTGCCACCTTACATCCTAAGCTCCAGTCATTCTGACCTGTTTTCAGTTTTGAAACATTCCTCTAGGTCTCTGTACATACTGTTAACTCTGTCAGGAAAGCCCTTTCTCCCTCTGGGCTGTGCAGAAGCTTGCTGAGTACTCTTTAATATTAAATTTGAATAATTGCCTTCTGTGTAATTTTCTTTGAATTTTCCAGCTGTATTAACTACTTCCTGCTTGATGCTCCATGGTGTCTTATACATATCTCCAGGGTAGCATTTATCTCATAGTTTAGAAATTAGTCATTTATAGGTTGTTTTCTTTTAATTGAACAGGACATTTCTAAGGGTAAAGATCTTGTAGTTTTTTTTTTTTTGGCTTCCTATCTCTTGACCTTTGTGCATAATATTTTCTTGTTTGGATAATTCCTTTATGACTTCAAGAGTCCTATCTCATTAAGCTTCCTGTAGCCCTTTACTGTATTCTTTTGAGAGATGACTAATGACATTATCAATACATAGCTTATTATCCCTTTGTCACTAGTACCACCTGCAAATAGTATGGAGAACAGTTAAAATTGAGTAGGAAAAACAGAAGCAAAGAAAAAGATAGAAGGAAATTGCCTATCTCACCATAAGTGAACAGCAGGAATCATGTTTTTATTTGCTGCCTATTTGGCCCATGAATGTTTTATAAGTATTGTAATCATCAAACATTTGCTGAGCTTGAAAAGGGTGATCCTAACCCATTTTTTCTTTTGGAAACAGTAGGATAATTCTTTACAATCTGGTTACTTTTTCCAGATCATTGAACCTTGAGGCATTGTCAATGTGTAAAAGAGTTCTTTGGCTTTCTTCCTGTCCTTCCTCTTCTCCTGCCTTTTCAGCACATTCTGTTGGTTTGGCCAGTGAGCAAACTGAGAAGTCAAAAGAGAAGAGGCTTGGAAATCAGAGAGCCAAAGGATTATAGCCAAAGGATTGAACATAGGGGGTTTGGATATGGCCTCTGTTGTCACTGGAGTAACAGAGAAAAGTAAAAAAGAGGAGAATACTTGCCAATTTGACCATCTCTGATTGGAAATGTTAGAAATGATGTTAGGTCTCTGGTGTGCAACAGACCATGTGGAACATGTTAATGCTACGTGGTTACCTAAGCTAGCTTATTCCATTTATTAGACAATGAATTCACTTTTAAAATCTTGGAGATAGAATTTTACAAAACTAGTATAAAATGATGACAAACATTGTGTAGCACATAATAAACTATGAGTAGACATCCAAGTGACTGAAGATGTTAATGGGTAGATGGCAAGGATTTTTGGAAGAGAAGAAAAGGGGTAGAATTGAATGGCCTCTACTAGGAAACTCAGAGATTCCATGCCTGGACCCAAAGAAACCAAAGGAAAATGAAACCTCTCTGAGACATCTGTTAATAAAGGCATAATCATAGTCAGCTACAGAAAGAATTCCCCAAACTCCAACACTAGAGGACTCCTTCTGTCTCTAAAGATCTTATTTATTTATTTTAGAGGTATAGTTACAGACAAAGAGGGAGACAGAGAGAAATGTCTTTCATCTGCTGGTTCATTCCCAAATGGCCACAATGGCTAGAGCTGGACTGATCTGAAGCCAGAAGCCAGGGGGCTTCTTCTGGGTCTCCCATGCTGATGCAGGGGCCCAAGCTTTTGGGCCATCTTCTACTGCTTTTCCAGGCCATGGCAGAGAGCTGGATTGGAAGTGGAGCAGCCGGGACATGAACCAGCGCCCATATGGGATGCCAGCACCTCAGGCACAGGCTTAGCCTACTACGCCACAGTGCTGACCCCTTCCTTCTGTTTCTATATGCCACAACACTAGCCCCCCAGAAAGAACTTTCTAATAGATCTACAAAAGAATAACATTTTCCAGAGGATCCAAGGTGGTATCATGAAAGGTAGAATAGATGACTCCCATGAACAGTCCACAAGTTTCAAAAATTTTTATTTACTTATTTGGAGTGTGTGGGGGAAGAGAAAGAGAGCTTTCAACTGCTGTTTTACTCCTCTAATACTTGTAACAGCTGAGCAGCTGAAGCTGGGCCAGACTGAAGCAAGGGGTGCCATGCACATGAGCGTAAGGACCCAAGAACTTGAGCCATTACCTGCTGCTTACTATTGCACATGTTAGCTGGAAGCTGGATCCTAAGTGAAGAAGCTGAGACCCGAGCCTGACCCCCCCCCCCCCGATATGGGAGGCAAGTGACTCAAACCAGTAACTTAACTGCTGTACCACATACCCAATTATGGTTCTGTAAATTTTTCAGTTGGATTTTTCGATTTGGATACATGGACAGATGGTCACTTTTTATAGTGTAGAGTGGACTACTTAAATAAAATTACAGGGAGCAGACAGTGGGCACTGCAGGTTAAGCCACTGCTTGAGATGTCCACATCTCATATTAGAGCACTGGCTTGAGTCCTGGATGCTTTGCTTCTAATCCAGATCCCTGCTAATGTGGTTGAGAAGCAATGAATTGATGACCTCAGTACTTAGGCCCCTGCCCTCTATGTGGGAGATCCAGATGGAGCTTTTGGCTCACGGCTTCAGCTTGGCCCAACCCTGGCTGTTGTAACCATTAAGGAAGTGAAACAATGAATAGAAGATCTGTCCATCTTTGTCATTCTGCATTTCAAATAAATAAATAAATAATTCTAAAAATAAAATACAGTTGCTAAAACCTTTGCCACAGCTTCACACCTTTTTTTGGGATATTTGAAAAACGAAGTAAAGTTTACTTTAAATTTGTTTAATAAATATAATATTGGTACTATACTAGTGTTTGATTACAACTTCACAGTCATTTAGCACTTTGTTGTGAAATGAGAAGGGACTGTTGTTTGTCCTTGAGCTAATCTTTTGTCCGCGTTACTGGTACACGTTCCTGGGAGGAATGGGATAGGAGATGGAACAGTAAAGAAGCTGCCATTTGCAGTGAGCCTCCTGTGCCATTAAAGGAAATCCTAAGATGTTCTGGAGGGTCGCCAACATTCCATACCCAGGCAGTGAGATCTAAGCCTGGCCTATCTATTTCTTCTGTCCACTAAGGCTCAGCGTGGCTTTATCTGCCTATCCCCTTATTATTCTGAACTCCCTAATTGCCTGGACTCTTTCTCTCCACAAATAGTTTCATGTACTGTATTCAGCATTAATGTAGAGTGACTATGTGGAGATGTCTTCTGTTCTACTTCTAACAGATTAACAGCTAATAAACACCATGCAACACGCTCTCCTCTGAACCTCTTCTTAAAATACAGAGTTTGGTGTGCCAACATGGGTGTATTTAAAGCCTCCACGATTCCAGGGAAGACTTTAGAAAGTTAATTGTGCAAGTAATGCCGGTTCAGAGAGGAAGTGTTCCGATCATGAAGAGTCAGTCGGTGTTATCAGCAGCTTGACTGAGTGAGAGTGACCTCAGGAGATCCTCTAGTCATTTATAAGAAAAGGATATTTATTTTCACTTAAAATAGAACTTCTCATTTTATTCTTGGCTTGTAACACTGAAGATAAGTCAGGAAACATATTGCCGGGGAGAAGGTAGGGAGTGTGAGTTTCATCCCAAGGGACAGCCTGTCTTTTCCAGGCAGGGGCACTATGCCACCTTCCAGGGATGCCGTCATGAAAGGAATTCTGCTACCTACTCCTCCCCACTCGCCTCCTCCCACCTTTTCCACAGTGCCTGAATTTCCCCTCCCTTTACTGAGACAGAAATGAAGCAGTCGGCTTAATGAAAAGTCTGTAATTAGAGCTGTGTTCAAAGCTTTAAACAAAGCCCCAGTCAACCCTCTGTCTGGAGTAGGATATAACTATCAGCAAGTTATGTGAAAATGATGTGTGTATCAGTCCCTCACATGCAAGGGAGACACACAGTTAATTGAAGGATAAAATAGACAGGATGCACATAGTCCAGTTTATAGTATGTCCAGTTCCAGTGACCCTTAAAGGAATATACTTGTAAAATATTTTATATTTCCTGAAGTCTGACAGAAGGTGACTCTCACAGTCCAGCTTGATTTATAGCTTATAAAAATGCGGATAGGGGCCAGCAGTGTGGCATAGCAGGTAAAGCTGCTGCCTGCCATGCCCACCAGTTCAGGTCCTGGCTGCTCCATTTCTCATTTGGCTCCCTGCTAGTGGCCTGGGAAAAGCAGCAGAAGACAATCCAAGGTCTTGGGCCCCTGCATGTGCTTGGGAGATCCCTTGTAACTCCTGGCAGCCATCTTGGGGGCATGAACCAGCAGATAGGAGATCTATCTCTCCCCCTTTCCCCTGTAACTCTTCCAAATAAATAAATCTTTAAAAAATGCAGATAAATATTTAGAGCAGTGATGAGTATTGGATTCCCCCCACCCCACCCCAGAGGTCTAAGCTCTGAGAAGAAGCCCTTTCTCTGCTTTTGAGTAGATGTTTTTTTTGTTGCAACAAAAACTCAGGCATATTTCTTACCTTTTGTTATATTTCTTTCGCCCTGATCATCACCATTGATTTCAGAAGCTTTTGAAGCTACAGTGACTTCATATTCTTGGGATGGGAGTTGACTTTGGGACAGGCTGTCAGTGCACTGTGAGAATGATGAGGCATTGTTCTGTGGTGAAGCAGTCAGTGCTACGCTGCTCATCTATACCCTCTGTATTAGTGACCTTGACCTCCAACACCTAATATGATTTTTGACGCATGCCAAACCTCCCTTGAAGAAAGATCAGAGTGAAATTCCATCGTAGTTGTGGAGTTGTTTGCAGATCACCTGAGCTGGGTAATTTATTCTTTCTCCTGCACCGCCCCCCCACCTGCCCACTGCACTTGTACAGAATTGTTTACCCAGATGGGGACGTCTCTCAGTGCCTGTGTATATACCACTTGTCAGACAGCCACCTCTGGAGCTCTGAAGCTTAAGTGCATGTCTTGGGATTATTTACAACTTCCTTTGCTGGCTTTTCTCCCTCCAGAACCGGACTTGAAGCCATCATGGAGACTTACGCGTTCTGGAGACCTCCTGTGCGCACACTCACCTTTGAGGATTTCACCACCATGCAAAAGCAGCAAGGTAAACCCTGGGGTGAGGCCTCTGCTGAGTGATAGGGCTGGGAAAGGAGTGGGACATGAAGTGAATGTAGCACATCTGGCCCCAGACCAAGACACAGGTTATAGCATTCTCTTTGTACAAAAATAACTCGATGGCTCCGTAAATAACCGAAGCCTCACCACTTGTACAAACGACCTTGTTGCAGAGGCAGCATTTCTTTTGACACTAAAAATTCTCTCTTCCTTAAAGCATTTTTATGATTGTGACATAATTATTACTACTGTTACTAAACACTCTCGTAGGCCATGGTATTTAAAAAAAATATTTGTTTATATGGGAGGCACAGAGACAGAGGGAGAAGAAGGTAGAAAGTGCTCCCATTTGCTGGTTTACTCCTGAGATGCCTGCAAGTAGCTGGGGCAGAACTGGGTCAAACACCGAAGCTGAGAATGCAGTTCAGGTCTTCCATGTGGGTGGCAGGGATGCATTACTTGAGCCATTACTGCTGTTTCCCAGGGTCTGCCTTAGCAGGAAGCTGGAATCTGGAGCTGGAATAAAATCCTGGGCACTACAGTATGGCAGGCAGGTATCTTAACTGCTAGGATAAATGCTAGTTTCCAGACTATGGTATTTTGAGAGATCTCTGCAACAGCTTCATTCATCTCTCATGGCAGCCTTGTTGGTTTTTTTAATCCTAGTTTTGTAGATGAGAAAAAGCTAAGCTGTTGTATCAGATCTCACAGTGAGGAGGGGGCTGATGCAAGCCCTTCTGAATCTTGCAACTTCTGCTCACCCCATTTCATTTACATGAAACAAAGCCCATCTCAAGGTGATGGGCTAAGTGGACTCCCTGATCCTTCCCCCCGCATTGCTTTGAGCTCTTCATCTAATTTCTACTCTTCTTTCTTTTATTTATTTATTTGAGAGGGAGAGTTGTTGACAGAGAGGGAGAAAGAGAGAAAGGTTTCCATATGCTGGTTCACTCCCCAAACTGCCAAAACGGCTAGAGCTGGGCCTATCTGAAGCCAGGAGCTTCTTCTGGGTCTCTTATGTGGGTGCAGGGGCCCAAACACTTGGGCCACCTTCTACTGCTTTCCCAGGCCATAAGTAGAGAACTGGATCAGAAGAGGAACAGCTGAGACACAAACCAGCACCCCTATGGAATGCCAGCGCCCTAGGTGAGGGCTTAGTGTACCACACCACAGTGCCGGCTCCTACTCTTCTTTTAGCTTCTGTTCTCAGTTCCATCTGTGCCCTACACTTCCCTGGGCCCACCCACCTGGGTACCTGAGTAAAAGCTTCCCAAAGTGTCAGATGCTTTATGAGTCTCCTTGTCCAACCTCCACTGCCCAAAGGAGACACTGATTCAAATTTACTGAGCTCTTTCTGTTCCAATGGCTGCTGTTAATAGAAGCCTGATTTTTTAATTTATGGTTCTGTTATTTGGGAAGCCATTCTAGGATTTGATAATATACTTTGATAATATACTTTGCTCTTGGGAGCTTCTAGCACTTTGCACAATGAATTAGGTTCGCAATCTACATTGCTGAAGCGTCTCAGGTTTTTTTTTTTTTTTTTTTTTTTTTTTTTTTTGACAGGCAGAGTGGACAGTGAGAGAGAGAGACAGAGAGAAAGGTCTTCCTTTGCCGTTGGTTCACCCTCCAATGGCCGCCGCGGTCGGCGCGCTGTGGCCGGCGCACCGCGCTGATCCGATGGCAGGAGCCAGGAGCCAGGTGCTTTTCCTGGTCTCCCATGGGGTGCAGGGCCCAAGCACCTGGGCCATCCTCCACTGCACTCCCTGGCCACAGCAGAGGGCTGGCCTGGAAGAGGGGCAACCGGGACAGAATCCGGCGCCCCGACCGGGACTAGAACCCGGTGTGCCGGCGCCGCTAGGCGGAGGATTAGCCTAGTGAGCCGCGGCGCCGGCCGCGTCTCAGGTTTTAAGATGAGTGTAGTGATGAAGAGCATGACTCTGGAGGCAGACAATTGTTACCCACTGTTCCTTCCTGGTTTGGAACCTTGGTCAAGTTCCACAACCTTCCTGGTAGTCAGTTATCTCTTCTGCTTTATATGGAAGAATGTAATAGAATTCTTAGGAGCATTAAATGAGATAATGCATTTAAAACCATAGTATGTGATCAACATGTGCAAGTTATTGTGTTCATCATCACTACTATCATCTTCATCTCCCTATGTCCCTGTATGTGTACACCTAAGAGGAAGATGTATCCGGGACAGGGAATATTACCTTTCTGATGATTAATTACTCAAAACATGATCAGATGATTCCTCTCCATAGGGATCTGGTGAGGAAAGTGATCCAGAATTTTCACCTCTTTTTATGTAGGCGGGGGAGAAATGGAAGATTTCCACATGGGAAGCCCTTTTGCTCCCATAAAGATGTGATTAGAAGCAGAGTCACCAATTATTCAGGGTGTTCCAACTGCAGCTAATTCATCATGGCCCTTAAGACTCAGAGGTTTTATTGGAGTCAGGAAAATCTGGGGCCTTGCCTTTTTTTTTTATTATTTGAAAGGCAGACACACACACACACACACACACACACAGATTTTAGATCTGCTGGTATCCTCCTCAAATGATTGTGACAGCAAGGGCTGGGCTAGACTGAAGCCAGGAGCTGGGAATTTAGTCTGGGTCTACCACATGGGAAGCAGGGACCCAACCACTTGAGCAATGATTTGATAATCCCCAGAGTGTGTATTAGTAGGAAGCTAAAATCAGGAGCAGAGCCAGGACTCAAACAACGACATTCAGCTGTGAGGTGCAGGAGTCCTAAGCATTGTCTTATCTGCTTCACTAAACACCCTTGGGCCCTCACTTTTGGTGATCACTAACCCTCTTACATAATCTTGGGCAATTTATTTCCACTCTGAATGCCAGTTTACTCATCTACAAAAAAGGGGTTTTCTTCTGTGAAGACGTTTACATAAACATGACCTATAAATGAAAACATGTCATTGAAAGACACTTGGTTCTGTTTATTTCTGGGGTGGGCTCTTTGCTTATCTTCACTTTCCAATCTCTAGCTAAGCAGGAGTCGGTTTCATTGAGGCTGGAATGAGAAGGTTGGAAGGGATCCTGCCAGTTCCTGAGGACTGGCATTGATGGCAACCATGTGAACAGTGTGCACTGCTATGCAACAAAGGTCTGGCATGGTGCCTGGCACACAGGAAATACCTAATGAGGGGTGAGTGATCGAGATCACTTGGTGGCACTGTGGCTCAAGAGGTAGGCTCACTTTAGTGACCTCCATCTTGGAGCACAACTACCTAGTGTGTATGTGGGTGTGGGATGTGAAGTCATCATTAGAGGTGGTGATCTGCCCTATAATCACATGTGGGGCACAGGCACAGGGAGCTTGCATAGGCTGCATGGCTGTACAGTGCAGTAGGTTTCATGGTAGTTCCACAGAAAATTTATCAACATGAAGACTTAGCTATTGACACACTGAAAGCAACAGCTTAAGAGAAACCAAACTTTGAAAGCATAATGTCACAACCACTTCAATGACCCCCTTTTTTCTTGCAGAGGAATGAGCATGAATTATTGGATACATATGGTGGTGAGATGGGCTAGAGGAAAAGCTAATTTCCTAAATCATATTAAAATTTCCATTAAATTGTCAATGAAATTTTCTATTAAATATTTTAATTGGAATGTATTTTTGAAGCCTTGATCCAGATTCTCATTATTAAAAATATGACTTTGTTTTTTGACATATGTAAAAGCAGCAGTGTCCATTCCCTCTTCCCTTAACTACTAAGAATCCCAGTAATTCTGAATAGTATTACTCATAAAATGAAGAAAAAAGACACAGCCATCTGTGTTGAATGCTTTGTGTCTCAGATGGAATACAGAATGATGAGAAGAAAGTTTGTAGTGGAAACTTCAGTGGCAGAATGATTTTACGGTAATTTCGTTTTAGTGAGGGAAGTGTAGACAGTATTGGTCCCAACATAAGATTCACATAGTAACTGACTCACCCAGGTGTTTGTATTACCTTATTGCTTCAAACAGATGAATATCTGGCATATAAAATAGTAGCCCTGGCATGGTTTTGTGCAGCTACTGACGGAGGCTGGATCAACCTTTATGCTTAGATGAGGTTAAGGATGCTTTGTCCATCTTTGCCTTGTCGTTCTTATCTTTATTGCATTAAGAATCATCTGCTGATAAAATTTCAAGGAAAATAGGGCAATTAGTCACCATTTTGCAAAAATTCAAATGCTTCTGTTTAAAAACACATATTGAATAGAGTGAATGGAGTGTTCTAAATAGTTGCTTTCTCTTATGGAGGAGATGCATAGGATTCATTAGCTTGTACTTTTGATCCCCAAAAGAAATGAAGGCATAGAGCATTATAGGAATATAACCGCACTAAAGTGGCAGAGCCAAGTTGAGAATGCCATCATGGATCTCCTGTTGGACAGGACAGTCTCCTTTCTGCCAGACCACGTTACTATTCTTCATTCTTATTTACTGGAGCTCTAATTTTGCAAAATAATTTAGTTTATTCTTCCTATTGTTGGCTTATTGTTCAACAGCTTGAGCATTCACTCTAAATGGGTCTGCATTTCACTTTTTAAAAAATATAGTCAAGTGTATGTTTTTATCTTCAAATGTCTTCATTTAGAATCAACAAGGATATGTATATGTTTAAAGAGTTTTGATATGAAAATTCTATGTCATGAATGGCTTCTGCTTGAAGGGAGGAGATAAACTAACCACATTAAGTTATGCTTGAGGAAGGAGACTGAGGCAATATAGACAAGGAAGGAAGAAGAAATAAGAGTCCAGCTAGGTTGCAGATAAGTGCAACAATCCTATTGTTCTGATGGATTTCTTCCTGTAAACAATAGATCTTTTATTTTTAAGATTTATTTTATTTATTTGAAAGAATCATACACACACATACACATACACACAGAGAGAGAAAGAGCTGGGGAGAGAGAGAGAGAGAAAGAGAGGAAGAGAGAGAGAGAGAGAGAGAGGTCTTCTATTTGCTGGTTAACTCCCCAAATGGCTGCAATGGCCAGGGCTGGGCCAGGCTAAAGCCAGTAGCCATGAGCCTTGTCTAGGTCTCCCACACGGGTTCAGGGGCCTAAGCACTCGGGCCATCTTCTGCTGCTTTACCAGGCACATTATTAGGGAGTGGAACAGCTGGAATTTGATCAAATGCCCATATGGGATGCTGGTATTGCAGGTGGCAGCTTAACCTGCCACACCACAACACCAGCCCCTAGACCTATTTTACAGCTAAAATGGAGAGAGCTCACGTGAGCAATGACTCCAAGTGATCTGTCAACTGTTTGTGCTAAAAGAAAACCTTTTAGTGTGATCAGAGCTGTCAATACATCTCTATCTGTGGAAACAAGGAGGCCTTCCATTTACAGAAACTTCCCTTCTCCTCAAGTGCTAACAGACATCATGGTAGATTTCAACACTGCTGAGTGTTTGTCAAGGAGTTAGTGTTAGGATTATAGGGTCTTTGATTTGTCTGATGTTGATCAGTGAGAGGAATAAGATACTGAACAAGTCATTCTATTAAAATGCTAGAAAAGAACAATCCAAGGGACATCAACCATTGAACTGTGAGCTCACTGTAATAATTCAAAGATAGCCAATTTGTGGCGATCTCAGTGGTCACTGAGATAAGGAATAATGTCCATCTGCAAAGCTTGCAACTAACTATTCACAGAGAACTTTTTAAAAAAGCACTCCCTATTTTAGCTGTAGAAGATCAGGATCTCAGTTCTGCAGCAGGGTTTGCACTATAAGAATGAGAAGCTCCTGACAGAAGATAAAGAGCACCTCAATTCCATCCATTAAAACATTGGTAATTGATTACATATTGTTTTTTGCTTTCAAAGTCCCTTATGATCTGTGTGCTTAAAACTGAGTTCATCATCTGCCTCACAGACCCAGTGCCCTCTCCTAGGAGAAGAATACTACTATCATTATTCTGGAAGTTTGCTTCCTCTTCCACCCCTATATCCCATCATTGCCAAGTTCCTGAATCTGCCCAATTCTCTAATCTCCCTTGCTACCATCTCTATCTGAGCTATTGTCATCTCTCACCTGGATGACAATAATTCCCTCCATAGCCTCCATTTTTCCTCCAAGCCATTCCTCACATAGCAACCAAAGTCATTTGCTGAAAAACACATCTATTGATATCAGCCTTCTATTCTAAAGATCCTTCAATAGCCACAGTTTACTTTCACTTATGAAAGGCATAGTCCTTAATATAGCCAACTGGACCTTGCATGCTCTGGCTATAGTTCCTTCACTTCTAGAATGGAGATAGTATCCATCAGAATTAAACAAGGTGGGGCTGGCACTGTGGTGAAGTGGATAAATCTGCTATCAGTGATGTCGGCATCCCATATAGGTGTCAATTTGAGTCCTGGATGCTCCACTTCCCATCTATTTCCCTTCTAATGGCCTGCGAAAAGCAATGGAAGGTGTGGGTCAAGTGCTTGGGCCCCTGCTACGCACATGGGAGACCCAGATGAAGCTCCTGGCTTCAACCTGCCTCAGTCCTGGCCATTGTGGTCATCTTGGTAGTGAACCAGTAGATGGAAGAGCTCTCTATCTCTCCTTCTCTTTCTGTAACTCTGTATTTCAGATAAATGAGTGCATCTAAGGAAAAAAAGAATTTGGGCTGGTGCTGTGGTGCAGCGGGTTAAAGCCCCCTCTTGCAGCACCTGCATGCCATATGGGCACTGGTCCAAGTCCTGGCTGCTCCATTTTCTATCTAGCTCCCTGCTAATGCACCTGAGAAGGTAGCAGAGGATGGCCCAGGTCTTTGAGCCCCTGCACCCAAGTGGGAGACCTGTAGGAAGCTCTTGACTCCTGGCTTTGGATCGGCTCAGCTCTGGCCATATGGCCATTTGGGGAGTAAACCAGTGGATGGAAGACCTCTCTCTCTGTGTTTTCTACCTCTCTCTGTAACTGTCTTTCAAATAAATAAAGTGGATCTTAAAATAAGAATTAAAGAATTAAATAATGTATGGAAAGTGCTTATGAAGCATCTAGGACTTATGAAGTATTCAATAAATATTCTTCGTTATTTTTCTTATTACCATTCCAGTTTTTTTTTTTTTATCGTTACCACTTTCCCTTTCCACCTGTAGTTCCAGCATCACTCATCTTACTTTCATTTTTCAAACATGCCAGGTACTTTCTTTTTCTTTCTTTTTTTAAAAAATTTATTTATTTATCTGAAAGAGTTACACACACACACACACACACAGAGAGAGAGAGAGAGAGAGAGAGAAAGAGATCTTCCATCTGATAGTTCACTCCCAGTTGGCCACAATGGCTGGAGTTGCACCAATCCTAAACCAGGAGCCAGGAGCTTTTTCTGGGTCTTCCATGAGGGTGCAGGGGTCCAAGGACTTGGGCCATCTTCCACTGCCTTCCCAGGCTATAGCAGAGAGCTGTATTGGGAGTGGCACAGCCAGGTCTCGAACCGGCGCCCATATGGGATGCCGGCACCTCAGGCCAGGGTGTTAACCCGCTGTACCATGGTGCCAGCCCCGCCAGGGGTTTTCTTACTACATGTTGTTTCTTTCCCTGTAAGGCTTCTTCACACCCACTCACCTTACTTAGTGCTTCTATCTTAGAGATATAAGCAGAGGAGAAATATCACTTCCTTGGGAAATTCTCTTTGCCAACTAGAGTAGACCAAATGCCCTTGGTTATTTGCACAATCCTTTCATTAATATTTTCATCCACATTGTCCTCATCAATTTTCCCTCTCAAAATGAAATCCCTAGGTCCAGGCATGATACCCAGATACTCAAATAGTAGTTGAATGAGTGAATTAACTCTGCTAAGTTCTGTATCAAGGGATTGGTGTCACTGTGCTTGGCAAAAAGTTACCAAATTGAGAAAACTTTAGGCTAAAATTTGAAGGGGAGGGCGACTTGAAAAGAAAGAAAAAAGAACAGAAATCAAGACACCAGAAGAAAACAAATTTGGTAAAAGATTGTGAAAGTAGTGCCTCATGATCCTGAAGTGAAAACGACAGGACAGGAAGTTGGGAACAATTATTTATAGACTCAGGGATCCATATGATTAGGGAGTGCATATGATTTGGGGAGTTAGTAAAATGGCCTTAAAATTTTAACCCAGAGGAATAAGTAAGTTTTATTAATTTACTCATCTCTCAACTAATATTTGTGCTGTCACAGATAACATTAAATCTTCTTGGAAGGGGCTAAGGACAAGAATAGACAATTAAGACAATATAATTCTTCCTTGAAAAAACATAAACCGAGTATCTGGAAGAAAATATAGATATCACTATTTAGGGAATCTGCAAACTTCACTGAAAAATTCTGATTATCCTATGTGGGTATGGGTTTTTTTGGTCTGTATTTATGGATGCTTCTGTGGGTCGTTATCTAACGTGCTCCATAAATCCAGCAGAGGACAGCCACTTTGGCATCTTTAGGTTCCCCCTCTTTTACTCTTTGTGTGTTTATTGTTAGTTTTTGGAACCACCTTTCTGTTCAGATTTGCCATTGATGTATTTGTGCATCTCTTTCCTCTGGACTTCTAAAAACCTTTTTAAAAAACCAGTAGTTTTCTGTTTTCTACATTATATTCCTTATATTTTTATGAACACTAATATTAAAATCATCTTTTCAAAAGTTGCCAGCATTTTTACTTCATTGTTTAGCCTGTTCTTACTTATCAGAATGAGGTCAGGGTAACAACTTCTCTTATTTCTTCAAACATTTAGGGGATTATATATATTTTTAAGGAAAAGTAGGCATCTTAGGTATCTTTTTAGATCCTCTTTTGCCAGAGGCATGTGTCCATCAGGCATCCAGATAGCTGAAATCTCTTTTTACTCCTTTTTGGGGATTTCCCTTATTTCAGGAAGAACCCATCCATAGCTTCCACAGGAGATGGTCCATATTCTGTTTGTTCTATCTATTTCCGATTCTCTCGCCTCTGGTTTTATCTGAATATCCCCAGCCTTTCACCATCATAGTGGGGTCACCTATGGAATTAGGGAGCTACATTGATTGGAATCCTTAGTGATCTAAGTAAAGAAAACCCAAATGGCAAGAAAGAAAGAAAGGAGGGAGGGAGGGAAGAGAAATGTGGGAGAGGAGAGAGAGAGAGCAAATGAGAGAAAGACTCTTGGAAGCAAGGAAGGAAGGCAGGAAGGGGGGAGGGAGGGAGGGAAGAAGAAAGAAAAGAAAGAAAAAAAGAAAGAGAAAGACATTTATTAGCTTACAAAACTGAATGGATTCAAGTAGCTGACTGCAGGCAGAGTTTGATTCAGGGTCACGAACAAGATCACCTAGCTGAAGTCTTTTCTCTCCTTCATTCTCAGCCATCTCACACAGGCAACATGGCTCATGGCATTCTTGGCTTCACATAATTTTAGGCTTAAATCTGATGGGAAAGGACATGTATCTTTCTTATAAGATTTCCAGCAAAATTTCATTGCATCTCATTGACTATACTTGGGTCATTCTTGAAGCAGTTCCTGAGGAAGGGGGAACATGATATTTTGATTGTCTGGGCTGTGTGACATCCCTGGAATTAGTGGAGGAGTGGCAGTACAGGAGGGGATATTTCCAGTGGAAAAAGTGGATGCTGCTGTCAGGAAAGGGGCAGAAGAATTCTGTCAAAAACATAGGATGTGGGGCCAGTAAAGCCACTGCCTACAGTGCCAGCATCCCATATGGGCGCCAGTTTGTGTCCTGGCTGCTCCACTTCCAATTCAGCTCTCTGCTGTGGCCGGAAAAGCAGTGAAGATGGCCCAAATTCTTGGGCCCCTGCACTCATGTAGGAGATCTGGGGGAAGCTCCTGGCTCCTGGCTCCTGGCTCCTGGCTCCTGGCTCCTGGCTTGGGATCATCTCAGCTCTGGCCATTGCAACCATCTGGGAGTGAGCCAGTAGATGGAAGACTCTCTCTCTCTCTCTCTCTCTCTCTCTCTCTGTAGCTCTGCCTTTCAAATAAATAAACAAATCTTTTTAAAAATACAAAAAACTGGATGTATATTGCAGCAAAGAAGGCAATAAAACAAAAAGCATTGAAAACAAAGAAGTGAAAGTCATGGGAATATTGTACCTACAGAATGTGGTAGGTGTAAAAGGAGAGAGACTCAGAACCCAGAGCACCAATGAATATATTAAAAGTTGATTTAAAGGGAAAGAATTTGGATTTATGCATAGCTTTATATTTTATGGGGGAAGGATACACTAGGCACCTTTCTGAGAGTCAAACCACACAATTCCCATTAGCACAGTCATGTTGACATTTGCATTATGAGAAGGTATTCATCTCAACTAAGGAGTTACCCCTAGTAGAGATGAACAGTGCAGTGCTCATTAAACCTTATGGCCTCTGGGTTTAGTGCTGATATTTTTACCTCTTACCTGTTTGAAAGTTTCAAGACACACAGTGAATCAGCACTCCTCAGAGACAGATGCCACAGAGTTATGAGAGAAGAGTCTGGCTTGAGGAACTGAGTAATTACATGGAAATTTGTTCTTTACTAGCCCAGATGGGGTTTTGTCTTACTGTTTTTCAATTTTTTTTGGAGAAAAAATTCACCACAAAATAAACCCAAAAGAAAACTGTATGAGAAAGTCTCCATATTACAATCTGGAAGTGATCAATTTAAAGATGCAAAAGTCAGCAGGTTTGGTATTCAGAATTTTCACGGTCACATTGAACTTGTCTTCATGGTACACAAGTATATTCTGGGTTATTGTCCTCGTATGGGTTCACTGCTAAGCATGTACTCCTTTTGGTTGTTTTGGCTCTTAGCCTCACATGTTGGGGCAAGTTAATGCTGTATATGAATTTTAATGTGTATTTCCTCACTTTGGTCCAGGGCCAAAATAGCATGCAGGGAGATAGGGCAGTGATTGATCCTGGCACTCCTGAGAGTAGTAAGCTCCTTAGGATATTAAAGTTTAATCACCTCTCAGAAGTGGATGAAGACCACTGAGGACACCGGGAAGGATACCAGTCTACCTACTTGTGTGCTTTTAGTTTTTTTTTGAAGCACAGGACACCCCATTTTTTTCCTGGGCTGGAAATGGGGAGGAGGAACAGGTAATTCAGAGAGAAATTAGTGTAGGATTAGTCTGGGAATATAGCCTAGCTAGGCCGCTAGCTATCAGTTGGCCAGATTCTCCATCATTCACAACCTTGGAGGCTCCCCCAGCCTGAAACAGCAGGGTGTGTGGATGTTGTGACACAGAGCTCGTCAGGGTATGTAGATGCTGGGATGCTGAGCTCCAGTGACAGAGGCTAACACCTGAGAACTCTCCCTGTTAGGGCCCAAGCACCCCCAGATGCCTTTCTCTTTTTCTCATAGGAGTCTTTAATGCCTATGTACCTAGTGTGATATGAGACCTTTATAATATGTATCATCTCATTGATTTCTCAAAACATCTATTCAGGGTAGATATTATTAATTTAATTTATATTGTTAAAAAATAAGAGGCTCATAGAAGCTAGCTGGCTAAGGTACCATAGTCAGTAAGATAGCTGGGGTTGGTTACTGGGTTCATCTGATTCTATAGTCATGCTTGTCCATGAAATACAGTTTTCATCAAGACTTCTAGAACATTCAGAGGCTGGCAGGTGCAGAAGAGTTGAGGTGAAGGGCAGATAGTGCCCGGCAGGAAAGAGAGGCACGGTTTTCTTTGAGAGGCAGCTGTGACCCCTTCTGTACCCTCGGGCCTGGCCTCCCACTCTGCCCTAGCTTTGCTGTGGTGAAAACTCTGCAGGGTAGGGGTGGGGGGTAGCCTCCTTGTGCTTCTTTAGCACTTGGCTGGCACTCCCAAGCTTGTTCAACAGGTGGCAGCTGTTGGATCACTCAAGAATAAAGACTTCTCAGGATCTCAGTTTGCTTCTCTGAAAAATGAATCCCATAGTCATCTCTGTCTATGCACTGTGTACCTGGAGAGCATGAGAGCATTTCTTCAAAGTGAATGGAAGCGGTGTGACTTCTTTGGGCAGGCTGTGTCCCCCCTCCCAGCACTGGTTCCTGTGCAGGCACTCACCCCGCCAAGCTCAGCAGGCCACCAAGTCTCATTTCTAGTGAATGTCATTTAAAAGCCAAAGCAAGCTGACTACAGACTTTTTAACATGCGTCTCTCATCTGCTAAGCAGAAATCCCTGTAACTTGTTAATAGTTCTCCTCTTATTTTTTTGTAGTGAAACCAATTGAGGCCCTAAATCAGTACCATTCATTCCATCATGGGCCATCTGAGAAAACCATTTAGAGTTGTGGAAAGTCATCTGCTCCATCTTGCACTTCCTGTAGCAGAGCCGGAGTCAGGCCCGATGGAGCATACCTATCCCAGGACAGTGCCGTGTGCTGAGCAGGTGGTCTCCTTGGGGACCACATAAACACCACATCAGGGAGGGCAAGGGCAGACCTTCAAAGAGAGGAGAGCATATACATATCCTGTAAAACACAAATCTCTGTACAGCAGGAGTCAGGTTTCTCCATGTGTGCCATAGCCCTAATTTCAGTGAGGCTCATGGCATTTAAGGTGAAAAGGAGGAAAACATGTAGGATGCCTCCAAGAAGATAAATGGATCCCTGGGCTTTCCACGAGGCACAGCCCGTTTAGCCACACAAAACCATGAAGCATGAGATGTGCTTCTTCCTCCTTCTCCAATCTTCCTTTTCCAAAAATGCCTTCATTATATTGAAGTGATTCCTTGTGTAGTATTTGGACTTGCTCATTTGCACTTTATATGAGTTTGATGTTTAGATATAGACATAATACTGACAAGGACAGAAAGGGGGGGCTCTAGTTCAAAGTCTTCGTTTCACAGCTGAGGAAAATGAAAAGGTAGTTGTGTTGCTTGTGACACAAGCTGCGCAGAGGTCAACGGACCTGGGTTTGAGCCGAGAGCCCTTCTCAGTGTGGCATTATCTCTAGTTGTAGAATAAAATCTAATTTTCTGAGGTGGGCATTTAATCTAGTAGTTAAGTTGTCAGTTAAGATGTGGGAAACCTGGATTGAGTTCCCGGCCTTAGCCCTGGAGTCCAGCTCCAGCCATTGTGGGCATTTAGGAAGTGATTCAGCAGATGTTTCTCTCCCAATCTCTCTGCATCTCAAGTAAATTTTCAAAATATTATTTAAAAAATAATCACTCTTCTCTTGAAGGAATTTAAGTTCTGAACTGGAAATGAGGAATGAGTTTCCTGAATGGAGTCTAATATCAGCAGTTATTTATATTTAAACCCAATTCTACCTTGAAGGCTTATTTGGGGAATTCTTTTGACCAAGAGAAAGATGATTTTAGTTGGGTTTTATAAAATTTAACTGAAAAAATCAGCAAGAGCCACATTTGTGCTTCTCTTGCCAATACCACTACCTGTATCTGTGAATGTAGGCTAATGAATTTTTTTTCCTGCTAAAATTAACTTTGGGCTTCTCTTGGAAGAATCTGATTCTTAATTCACACACCTGGGTTGCTCCATCCCCGCACACTGGGAGGGTTTCTTTGTAGCCCTATGACTCTGGAATCCTGCCAGCTTTCTTCACATTTTCCTCATTGACAAAAATCTGATTCCTGCTCCTTTCCACCTAAAATCTCCTTAATCATTTTATAGCCCTCAGGTTCTAAGGGTGCCAATATGAGTTGTGGGTGAACTAAAGGATATCCCACTCCTTAGGGGCTAGGGTGGAGTTGGGTGCTCAGCTCCTAACAGTTCTGGGAAAGTTCCAACCTTCCCTGAAGGAAGATATTCCGTCAGAGGAGATTCCCCACTGAGGACAAAACGGCTGCTCCTGCTGCAATCAAAGACATTGGCGCTGCAGCCCCAGCACCCGCCACTGTCTTTAAAGCCCACTGGGTGAGGCAGGAAGTGGATGCTGCACTGTGCTTCTTGGTCCCTTGAAAGAAGATGCTTGTAACAAGAGAACATATGTGAAATAGATTGGTGCATGAACCACGAATCCAGCTTTGACATCCAGACATCATGAGATCAGTTATGTCAAATACTGATTCAGGGACTTTTAGAAATGAAAGAAATCTGTACATCCTCTAACCCCAAGAGTGGTCTTAGGACCATGACCTGAGAACTTGTTAGAGATGCACGTTCTCAGGCCCTGGCCCAGACTTGCAGAATCAGAAACTCTAAGGAGGGAGTCACAAGTCTGTGTCTTCGTCAGCCCTCCACTGATTCTCATGTGCACTTTAGTTTAAGAATCACTCCTCTGAGTACTTTGAAATATGGAATTTGGGTTGTGTAATTTGTTCTCAAACTTTGATGTATATTAGAATAATTTGGGAGGACTTTTGAAGTAATTCCGATGTGGTGGTCTCCTGCCCGGGAACCCTCCTCTAGATGGTCTGAGGTAGAATCCTGGAACACTGGCGTTTTTTTTAAAAAAGTGGGCAAGTTCCTCTTGGCTTGAAAACCAGCGATCTAACTCACTCCCTCATCTCTGGGTGTGGAAATGGACACCTGGACAAGGTGAGTGAGGGGCTCAGGGTCATAAGGTGGGTTAGTGCAGCAAAACTGTGAATAGAACCGTAATCTCCCAGTTTGCATGGCCTTTTGTCTTCACAAATATCTAAATCTTAGTCAGGCTCCTGTCAAGAAGAAGACAGCAGATCTTTTGAGTCCTAATGACTTTGTTTCTGGATAGCCTTGCTGTCTTCCAACCTCATTTTTTTTTTTGACAGGCAGAGTGGACAGTGAGAGAGAGAGAGAGAGAGAGAGAGAGAAAGGTCTTCCTTTTTGCCGTTGGTTCACCCTCCAATGGCCGCCGCGGCCAGCGCGCTGTGGCCGGCGCACTGCGCTGATCCGATGGCAGGAGCCAGGTACTTATCCTGGTCTCCCATGGGGTGCAGGGCCCAAGCACTTGGGCCATCCTCCACTGCACTCCCTGGCCACAGCAGAGAGCTGGCCTGGAAGAGGGACAACCGGGACAGAATCCGGCGCCCCGACCGGGACTAGAACCAAGTGTGCCGGCGCCGCAAAGCAGAGGATTAGCCTAGTGAGCTGTGGCGCCGGCCCCAACCTCATTCTTATGATACTCCTGCTCCTAATGTCTTTCATATGACAAAACTTTAATCTCTTACCCCAGTTTCCACTTGGGTCCCTCTGTCTGCCTTCCCAGTCCCAAGTCCTGACTTGGAGCCCTCCACTAGTACCCATTTTTTCTTGAGATTAGGGTCCTGCTTTGGCATCTTACGTGTTGACTGCAAGACTGAAAATGTCCAAGTAGACAACAGTCTCTGTTGAAAACTTAATGCATTTTCTTTGCTTTGAGAGTGGGACAAGCTGATGGGTGGATTTGAATTATGATCACCAGAGGTGTTATTAGAAAGTGAATTTGGGCTGGCGCCATGGCTCACTAGGCTAATCCTGTGCCTGTGGTGCCGGCACACCGGGTTCTAGTCCTGGTCGGGGCACCGGATTCTGTCCCTGTTGCTCCTCTTCCAGTCCAGCTCTCTGCTGTGGCCCAGGAGGGCAGTGGAGGATGGCCCAGGTCCTTGAGCCCTGCACCCGCATGGGAGACCAGGAGGAAACACCTGGCTCCTGGCTTTGGATTAGCGCAGCGTGCCAGCTGCAATGCGCCGGCCGTAGTGGCCACTTTGGGGGTGAACCAACGGAAAAGGAAGACCTTTCTCTCTGTCTCTCTCTCTCACTGTCTAACTCTGCCTGTCCCAAAACAAACAAACAAACAAAAAAAACCAAACAAACAAACAAAAAAAGCAAGAAAAAAAAAGAAAGTGAATTTGATGGATGGTGAAGAGAATATTGAAAGGTTTATATTATTTTTATGTTCTTAGAATTGTATCTAAAAATCACATTGTCTGTTAAAAACTAATTAAAAATTAAGAAAAACTTGGACTTACTAAGGCTCTTACAGGGAGACACAAACCTATGAGTTCAGTGTTCAAAAGAACATTTTTTTGTCCTGCCTTGTGGAGTGTGTGTGTGTGTGTGTGTGCCTGTGTGCACAGGTGGAATCACTTAGCAGAAGTCTGCTGAGTTAAGAGAAAGCAGTGATTCTGTAGAAAACAGCTCATCTTGGACATCTGAAGGCACCTCCTGCATGGCATGCACTTGGCCTAGACAGACATATCTTCAAAGGCCTCTGTCTCAATGGTATCCTGTTTTGCTTTTCAGGAGGCAGCACAGGCACTTCTCCAACCACCTCCAGCACTGGGACACCATCCCCTTCGGCTTCTTCTCACCTGTTATCTCCATCCTGTTCTCCTCCAACTTTTCACCTGGCCCCCAACACCTTCAATGTGGGCTGCCGAGAGAGCCAGCTGTGTAATCTAAACCTCTCTGATTACCCACCATGTGCCCGAAGCAACATGGCTGCCTTGCAGAGCTACCCGGGGCTGAGTGACAGTGGCTACAACAGGCTCCAGAGTGGCACCGCTTCAGCCACTCAGCCCTCCGAGACCTTCATGCCTCAGAGGACTCCATCCCTGATCTCAGGAATACCAACTCCTCCCTCGTTGCCTAGCAACACCAAGATGGAAGCTTACGGTGGCCAGCTGGGGTCCTTCCCCACTTCCCAGTTTCAGTATGTCATGCAAGCAGGCAATGCTGCCTCCAGCTCCTCCTCACCACACATGTTTGGGGGCAGCCACATGCAGCAGAGCTCCTACAATGCCTTCTCCCTCCACAACCCTTACAACCTCTATGGATACAACTTTCCCACCTCCCCTAGGCTAGCTGCAAGCCCAGAAAAACTGAGCGCCTCTCAAAGCACTTTACTCTGTTCTTCTCCTTCCAACGGGGCCTTTGGCGAGAGGCAGTACCTGCCCACGGGGATGGAGCACAGCATGCACATGATTAGCCCTTCGCCCAATAATCAGCAGGCAAGCAATGCTTGTGATGGCCGGCAGTACGGGGCGGTCCCAGGCTCCTCCTCCCAGATGTCTGTACACATGGTTTAAAGGCCACGGAGCCCACAGCAGTCAAGACCCCAGAGTCTCCATGGGCAGATCCTCCTATCTGGGAGCCCAACACCTTTGGAAAACAGGAACTTTGTATTTTGTTTGCTGGTTTGTTTTTCTGGAGGAGGAAGACGCATACACAAGAGCAACAAGAGACACTTGTAGGCCACTGAAGGATACTTGCGGTGCATCATCCACAACTCAGTGGTCCTTCTCCTGCCTTCCCAAACCTTAGTGTAAAGCATAGTCTATGCCAGAGTGGCCTTTGAAGTGACTGAATCATCATTTTATAATAATGTTAAGGGAGATGCTAGCGTGTAGCAGCCATGAAAAGTTACACACACAGACCTACCTATACATGCACACACGTGTATTCGTACATAAACTTGTGCAAACACAAACATACATGTACCCCGACTCTGAACTGGGTGAACTCTGTGCAGGGAGGCCCAGAATGGGTGCTTTCACCAAGAATTTGTTGATGTACAACACTAGATGGACTGGGCCGGCCGTTGCTGCCAGCCTTTCTCCCCTGCAGCTTGCCGTGCTTCTGGAATGAACCATGTATCCTGGAATCCTTACCCATTGATGAAGGTGGGACGACATCAGTTACAACTGGACTTGGCTTCCTGACAAAGATCGCTCTTAATCTCTGGCTGTCTGCACTCCCTGTGCCAGCATTGACGTTCCCAGTGGTGCCTGTGAAAGAGGGAGTCAGGGCAGCTGAGCAGGACAGAAAGAAAGAGAAAGAATAGAGGGCAGGACTGAGTTGGTGAGCAGGACTGGGAAAGTGTGAGCAATGGTGGGAGTTTTGATTCACCAAGGAAATGTGGTTTTGGTTTGTTCTCCCACCTGCAGGTTATAGGAAGAATCTTGGCATTACTGAAGAGTGAACCTCCCAGGGACACTGTATGGTCAGGGCACTGCGGGAAGGGACTGGAGCAAGTAGTGCTACCTGATCCCACATGACAGATGTGACCCAGAAGGGAGGCGCGCCACGTGGGAAGTGCTGATTCCACAGCATGCAGCCTGGCAGGGGAAGGGGACTAGGAGTGTGAAGAAGGAAGAGTTTTACCATCCCCTCAGATGACACCGAGAGCAGTGGCAGTAGTGGCCTGGTCTCCGCATGCCAGATCCAGACGCCCGCCCTGGACCTCCTGCCTGCTAGCCCCTGTGGCGGGAGAAATCCTATCTTGGTCCAGGGAATCGCAGATGGATCTTCTCCACTCTTCCACCTGCCCTTAGATCTCCATTTTTATCAAATAGTTCTTTGCATTTTGAAGTTTGGGTTTTTTTCTTTTATTTTTCATTTTCCCTTCAAATCCTTTAATGATAAGCAAACAAGTGAAGCTTGGTGCAAGCTACAATTTTTAAATGGTGTGGAAATGCAAATAATACCAAGTAAAATAATACAGATATTATTGAGATTTGTGGTTTTGAAGTGTTGTAGATAAATGTATTTATGTGCCTAGTGGGGAATCCAATATTATGAATATTAAAAAGGGGGCAATAAAAGGGTATGTAAAATATGTATGAAGAAAAGGTGTATAAAAATTTGCCCTTATGCACGGAACTCTGTTTCTAAGTGCCAAGCACAGAAAGCCGCTAAATAAAACCTTTGCAATTGTGTCCTGTGTGTTTGTTCCTACAGAAGAATCACATAACAGCTTTATGCATTTGCATTTTGTGTTACAATGAGCATAGCACTTGCAGATGTACTATTCTGTACGAGTCTTATCAGATCACATGAAATAAATATCACCAACCTCATTTTACCATTAGGAACTGAGCCAGAGGGATCAGGTGAATTAACTAGGATGGTACCACTCATTGTAGAGGGAGTGAAGACTTGAAACCTAGTCCTTTCTGTCTCTCAGGAGATGTTTGCATTCACATTAGTGGCAGAAACCTGTACAAGACTAACAGGAATCCTCATTTGGTTGATACTTACCAGTGAATGCACGGTGTGTTTCATGCGATTGTCTCAGGTAACCCTTCCCCCACTCCTTGTGAGCTAGGTGTCATTTAATCACTATTTCATAGATCTGTAAACAAGGTTAAAGGGTTAAATACTTGACCAAAGGCTCTCAGGTGGTGAGTAACAGGGCTGACTGGCTGATCTTAGGGCTGTGTAATCAGCTCAGTGTTGTTGTGCTGGTTCTAGCAGCACTATGTGGCACTTTGACGATGACATAGCTAAGGGGTTGAGCCAACGGTGCCTCTGAGGCTGGATTTTACTCAGTATGTTTAATCATAAATTTGTACTCTCCTCCTCGAATGAATCATCACAATGTGGGAGGAATGTTTTTTTTTAAAGATTTATTTATTTGAAAGGCAGAGTTACAGAGAGGGAGGTAGGGAGGGAGAGAGAGAGAGAGTGAGAGAAAGAGAAAGAGAGAGAGAGGTCTTCCATTCATTGGTTCACGCTCTGGATGACCGCAATGGCTAGAGCAGGGCCAGGTTGAACCAAGGAGCTTCTTTTGGGTCACCCACATTGGTGGCAGGGGCCCAAACACTTGGACCATCTTCATTGCTTTCCCCAGGCCATTAGCAGGGAGCTGGATTAGAAGTGGAGCAGCCTGGTCACAAACCAGTGTCCATATGGGATGTCAGCATTGCAGGTGGCAACTTTACCCACTATGCCACAACGCTGGTCCCTGGGGAAGTAGTTTTGAGTTGTCGGCCACAGAGTGACAGCTTTGAATGGTAAAGGTATAGGGCTCTGCCTTTTGAAAGTGCTTTCACATATTATCTCATTTAAACTTCATAATAAGCATGTCAAGTGGACAAGGCAGGAAGTGTTTTGCAAATGGGGAAGCAAGACTATAAAGGTTGTGAACTGCTTGCACTTGAGTGGCTGGGAAGCAGCAGAACAAAACTTGGAATCTCCCGCTCTTATCCCTACCCCTGACAGTTTCCCAGGGAGAGTTCACCGGCAATCTTCCTGTGGCTTCCTAAACAACTGCATTATGCCCAAAAACAACGACAAAAACCAACAGACAAAACACCACTCCAATACATGAACCCTGTGGTTTATTTCTGAGTTAGCAGCACACCAAGCATTGTTCACTGGTCTGGAACCTTTCAGGTTTTAGGTAACAGAAAATCAAAGTATGCCAAGCAAAGAATTTGAAAAATAAGAATAATAATTTCAACACTTATGTAGAGTGTTAAGTACAGAATATTTTTGTCATTTGGGTTCATCAGAACAATCAAAGCCAGTTACATGAGTTATGACATAGGTTTCCATCTGGAATGAGAAAGTAGTAAAAATAATTTTTTAAAGATTTATTTATTTATTTGAAAGAGTTACAGAGAGGCAGAGTAGAGAGAGAGAGAGAGAGAGAGAGAGGTGTCTTCCATCTGCTGCTTCACTCCCCAGATGGCCACAAAAGCTGGAGTTGTGCCGATCTGAAGCCCAGAGCCAGGAGTTTCTTTCGGGTCTCCCAAGTGGGTGCAAAGGCCTAAGGACTTTGGTCATCCTCCACTGCTTTCCCAGGCAACAGCAGAGAGCTGGATCGGAAGTGGAGCAGCCAGGTGTCAAACTAGCAGCCATATAGGATGCTGCTACTGCAGGCGGCAGCCTTACCTGCTACGCCACAACGCTGGCCCCAGAATAATTTTTTTTAAACATATATGTTTCTTTGAATATAGACATCTTCTTGCCATGCTCTTCCCAGTTGTCTTGAATGAAATAGTGAAAATTCAGTGTAATTGGCACACTGATTAACTACAAAAGGCTGTTCACTACAAGCATTATTCTTCTATAGGGTCAAGTGACTCTCTTGCTCACTTTTTTCTTGGGAAAACCTGTCTTATTCATCCTTACATTCTCAGTGACTTTGACAGTTTCAGGCATTTAACAGAATCTTAGTGCATGCTTACTCTTACTGCTAGATTTGTTGATCAAATCCATTTTTAAGGCTATACAAAAGGGCCACATGGCTGAATTATTATTCACTCCAAATTAAAGGGTTTTAAATTAGCAAAAATCTCTCCTTCATATAATTGTGATAGATTGATGTAAATTTAATGAGATGGAAGCTATCAAGCATTCACTGCACATAGTTGAGGATAATGAGTGAATAGATGCCATAGTTTCTGTCTTTAAATTTCTATTTCTCACTTTTCAAGCAGTCGTGAACATATGATGCTTTGAAAATTCAGAGAAGATGCTTGATGCAGGAAACAGGTTGAGACTGTTTTCATATCAGAGGTGGGTGTTGAACTGAGCATTCAGAGATGTTTGGAATTTTTGTAGAAGTAAGGAATGGTAGGCCGGCACCGTGGCTCACTAGGCTAATCCTCCGCCTTGCGGCGCCAGCACACTGGGTTCTAGTCCCGGTCGGGGCGCCGGATTCTGTCCCAGTTGCCCCTCTTCCAGTCCAGCTCTCTGCTGTGACCCAGGAGTGCAGTGGAGGATGGCCCAAGTACTTGGGCCCTGCACCCGCATGGGAGACCAGGATAAGCACCAGGATAAGCCTTCGGATCAGCGCAGTGTGCCGGCTGCAGCGCGCTGGCCGTGGCGGCCACTTGGGGGGTGAACCAACGGCAAAGGAAGACCTTTCTCTCTCTCTCTCTCTCTCTCTCTCTCTCTCTCTCACTGTCTATTCTGCCTGTCCAAAAAAAAAAAAAAAAAAGACAATGAAATAGATTTGGAGGAAACATGATATCTTTCAATTTCAAATGAACAATTAAATCAATGTAGAGACATTTAGTATCTTCTGTGGCCTGGAGACTAATGTCTTCTGTGGAATCTCTTTCTATCAGTGAGATTGTGGGATGCTGGGATTCAAAGCAGGGCTGCTTGGCTGATGCCAAATGTTTGATTCATTGCTTAGCACTTTGAGCATTTTAGAGAAACTCTGCTGTAACCATTTGCTTTCAGTAAACTAAAGGAATTTGTCTTCTAGAGGAAACTTCATCACAAAGGTAAATTTTTTTAAAGATTTTATTTGTTTACTTGAAAGAGTTCTACAGAAAGAGGAGAGGCAGAGAGAAAGAGAGAGAGATTTTCTATCTGATGGTTCACTCCCCAATTGGCCGCAATGGCCGGAGCTGCACTGATCCAAAGCCGGGAGCCAGAAGCTTCCTCCGGATCTCCCACGTGGGTGCAGGGGCCCAAGGACTTGGGCCATCTTCCAGTGCTTTCCCAGGCCATAGCAGAGAGCTGGATCAGAAGTGGAACAGCCAGGACTTGAACCAGCGACCATATGGGATGCTGGCGCTTCAGGCCAGGGTGTTAACCCGCTGTGCCACAGTGCTGGCACAAAGGTAAATTTTAACTGAAGCTTGTTTTGTTATGTTGTTCAGTTGGAGGAATTGGTCTCTATTCCTATCACCAGCTTCCTTCCTTTATCTCATTCAATTTGATAAAAACTTATTCAATGCCTAGTGCATCGATTACTGCTCTAGGGAAAGAAGATTCAACAGGGAACAAGCAGACACTACCATGCCTTCAAAGGAACTCATGACTGGTGGGAGGCAGATACTAAACACACTGGAAAGTAAATGAATAATACAATTTTGAGTTGCAATGGCTACTTTGAGGAAATTAAAAGCAATAGGATGAATGAGAGTGAGTGGGGAATGATGACAGAGGCTTGATTGATACGGTTTGCCAAGGAGGCTGCTCTAAGGAGGTGATGTCAGAGCTAGTGCACACATTATCTTAGAATTTTGTTACTCAAATGCATGCTGTGCAGTTGTATCTTCATTGAAAGGTGTGCTCTGGTCACCTTGCATCATCTGAGACCAGGCACTTTTGCCCTTACAGTGGCTTTCTAGCATTGATACTCACTTGCCAGTGCCTTCTGGGACTGGGGACATTTCAAAACTGCAAATCTGGATCTGTCTTCGGCATGGGTCCAGTAGAGTCATATTTTCATGACTTCCTTAGCAGACTATGAGCAGCATTCCTTCTAACTCACTTTGGTAAAAGATTAAAACTAGTGATCAAAAATCAATAATAATCAAGTTAATAAGGAACAATAATTAAAGAGACAAACTTATTAAATATGGCTCAGTACAGTGTTCTCAGAAATTTTTTTTTGTATAGTATGAGGATATAGGAAATTTCTATCTTTAGAGATTTTTCAGCCTAGTTGAAGAATCAAGATATACACGTACTAAATAGTGAACATAAAAGCATGAAATTGGTGGTAAAGACCATATATGTGCTTCCAAGCTTTGGAAGGAAACTAATTTCTACTGAGTGTTTATTACATGTTACACATTGTGCAGTGCAGTATCATATAAGCCTTGCAAGTGTCCTGCAGGGTCTGTATCTCAGTCCCTACTTTATTGATGGGAAAACTGAAACTCTTAGAGGTTTGGAATGTGCACAAAGTCACAGAGCTTGCAAATATCAAAGGTAGGGCTCCAGCCCAGGTCTTTCCACTGCTTTAGTTCTCCAAAACTGAGATTTATAGGAACTGTAATAAAGAGATTGATTCATGGAGAAGGTCAGAATTTAACCGTAATTTTTTTTTTTATTTTTGACAGGCAGAGTGGACAGTGAGAGAGAGAGAGAGAGACAGATAAAGGTCTTCCTTTACCTTTGGTTCACCCTCCAATGGCTGCTGCGGCCGGCGCGCTGCGGCTGGCACACTGCGCTGATCCGAATCCAG